CTCTGGGCGGCTTACACCAAAGACAGGATACTAAATAGCATATTGCCCCCAACAATCTGGGTCCTCATTTTACCCACCTCGGAAGGATGGAAGGCTGAGTCAACCTTGAGCTGGTGAGATTTGATCCGCTGATCTGCTGAACTAGCAGTCAGCTGAAGTAGCTGCAGTACTGCACTCTAACCACTGCGCCACCTTGGTTCCATTAATCTAGACATACCCAGTTTCTGCAACCGTTCTTCATGTTTTAACCTCCAGTCCCCTAATCATCTTTGTTGCTCTTCTCTGCATTCTTTTTAGAGTCTCCACATCTTTTTTTACATCATGGTGACCAAAACTGGATGCCATATTCCAAGTGTGGCCTTATCAAGGCATTACAAAGTGGTATTAACACTTCACGTGATCTTGATTCTATCCCCCCGTTTATGCAGCCTAGAACTGTATTGGCTTTTTTGGCAGCTGCTGCACACGGCTGGCTCATATTTAAATGGTTGTCCACTAGGACTCCAAGATCCCTCTCACAGTTACTACATTAGCAATGTAGCAGTAGCAATCATTCCTTAAGTAATTTTTGTTAACCTAACCTTGTAATCTGTATATTCCTTCTAACAAGGCTCTTCTTGAGTGATTTTGGCACTGAGCAAGGCCCAAATCCTGATAAGTTGCCAACTGTTCAAACGTTCTCGAACATTCCCATCAATTTCTCCACTGTAAAATATCAACTGTAATTCAGTAAAGTAAAATGTTAAGTACCAATAAATATTGAAACAGCTACTTTCAATTAATGGGTTGGGCTATATCAATTTTTAATTTACTAAAAATGCATCTGAGATTAATTGCTTGCCTGGGGGTGGTGGTGGTCGGGAGAAGCCCTCTTGGAGATGTTGCAAATCTCTGTTTCAGCAAAGCTGGCAAAACCCTGGAGCACTTTAAATTATTACCTTACAGGTATTGTCTTTGATTACTTTTGATAACTTTTGGAAAAGCAAAAGCTACATTAATCATTGTTAAAGTTAAGTCTACGCCTTACCAAAGAGAGGACTGCATTCAGTTTGGGGAAATTGCCATTTCTAAGACACATTTTTTTAAAAAAAATTTGATTTATATGCCGCCCTTCTCCGGAGACTCAGGGCGGCTTACAATGTGTTAAGCAATAGCCTTCATACTTTTGTATATTTATACAAAGTCAGCTTATTGTCCCCACAAACTGGGTCCTCAATTTACCTACCTTAGAAAGGATGGAAGGCTGAGTCAACCTTGAGCCTGGGGAGATTCGAACTTGCAGTAATTGCAGGCAGCTGAATGTTAATAACAGGCTATTAGTCTGCTGCGCCACCAGGCACCATTTTACTACGACACTTAGGTGGGCCCCCAAAAAATGAATTAGAAACTATACTTTTATTTTAGTTAGACACCCTCCAGAATTCAACTTTATTAGGTAAGAAGCCATAATATTTTATTCATTTATTTAAGTGATTTATATGGCTATCCATCTCACAACAATAACTTGGGCAATGTACAAAGATCAGTGGTTAAGGCACCAGGCTAGAAAGAGGGAGATGGAGAGTTCAAGTCCTGCCTTCGGCCTAAAAGTCGACTGGGTGACTTTGAGCCAATCACAGGAGACGGTTGAGTTCTAGTCCCAGCTTTAGCCATGAAAGACAGCTAAGTAGGCCAGTCCCTCTCTCTCAGCCCAATTCATCTCACAGGTTTGCTGTTGTGGGGAAAATAGGAAGAAGAAGGAGCATTGCATAGATTCGCTGCCTTGAGTTGTTTATAAAAAAAAATAATAAAAGCGGGATATAAATTAAACAAAATTAATAACCAAGGACAGATTAAGAGTTGGCAAACAACAACAGCAGTATTGGGCAAGATGTGCCTTTTGTGTTGGCTGTGAAGTTGCATCTTGGAAGAACTTGGGTTGTTTGCAGGGCCTTTTTAGCTTTATCAAAGCAAAAATCATCAGCAGAGAGCAGATTATTGATGTTTCTTTCCCCAGTTTTTAACACCAAAAATCAAGTGAGGTACTAATACCACTCTATAAAGCCCGAGTAAGACCACACCTAGAGTACTGCATCCAGTTTTGCTCATCCCATTATAAAAAAAGATGTTGAGACTCTAGAAAAAGTGCAGAGAAGAGCAACCAAGATGATTAGGGGACTGGAGGATAAAACATGTGATGAACGGTTGCAGGAATTGGGCATGGCTAGTCTAGTGAAGAGAAGGACCAGGGGAGACGTGATAGCAGTCTTCCAATACTTGAGGGGCTGCCACAGAGAGGAGGGGGCCAAGCTATTTTCCAAAGCACCTGAAGGCCAGAAAAGGAATAATGGATGGAAACTGATCAAGGAGAGATTCAACCTGGAAATAAGGAGAAATTTTCTGACAGTGAGAACAATCAACCCATGGAACAGAAGTTGCCTTTGGAAGTTGTGGGAGCTTCATCCCTTGAGACTTTCAAGAAAAGATTGGACTGCCATCTGTCAGAAATTGTGTAGGGTCTCCTGCTTGAGCGGGGGGTTGGACTAGATGACCTAACAAGGTCCCTTCCAACTGTGTTCATATATATTCAGCACATGGGGTTGAATAAATAAGGGGGGAGAGAATACAGCCTTCTCATGTTCGTTTGACAATTTGGAGTCAGTTTGTTCCACCAGATTCTGTCACATTAAGAAGAGATATCGGGGTTTGACAAAAATGCAATTACAGGTAGTCCTTGATTTACAGCCAGCCGTGTAGTGACCATTCAAAGGTACATCAGCACTGAAAAACGGACTAATGACTGGTTTCCCACTTACGAACATTTGCAGCATCCCACATGATCAAAATGTGGGCGCTTGGCAACTGGTTGTGATGGTTGCTCTATTGTGGGATCACAATTTGTAGCCTTCCCAGCTAGCTTTGGACAAGCAAAGCCAATGGGGGGAAACCAGATTTGCTTTACAACTGTATGATATGCTTAACAACTATGCTGTTAAACTGTATGATATGCGTTTAACAACTGTGACAAAAAGGTCGTAAAAGAGGTAAAACTCACTTAAGAGCTGCCTCGCTTAGCAACAGAATTTTGGGGCTCCATTGTGGTCGCAAGACAAGTACTATGTGTGTCAGCATGCGGCCTTGGGTTGAAATTTCTGCTTTTTATAAAGACAAGGCAAGTCCTGGAATGTATGATGAAGTAGTCCAAATTTATAGAGCACAGGTTACTTTCAGACATCAAAGAAATGGCCCAAGGTAATAAAAGAACCTACAGAACATGTCGGTTTTTCTTTATCATCCAGGATGAATATTTTGATATTAAAACCACCAGTTTAGAACGGTTCCCAGTTTCATTTCGCAAGCTCAAGATAGGATGGGCTCTAAATGACCGGGGAGTGACTTTATTCTTCTGAAAACTAATGCATTTCACCTCCACAGATCTATGTGGAAGATGCTGAAGTTTCATAAGAAAAATTCTGGCTAAAAACATTTCCCTTGGTTGATTCTTTTTTTCCCCCCTTAAATCCCAGTTTATGCTACAAAATTTGTAGAGTACACTATTGAAAGTAAATTGCTGTTTTCTGGAGGAGGAAAAATCTTGGCCCCTTCTGCTACTTTCAATATTTTCTCAATACACTATTCAATACACTATTGAAAGTAAATTGCTGTTTTCTGGAAGAGGAGAGAGGAGGAGGAGGAGGAGGAGGAGGAGGAGGAGGAGGAGGAGGAGGAAAAAACTTGGCCCCTTCTGCTATACTTTCAATATTTTCTCAATACACTATTCAATACACTATTGAAAGTAAATTGCTGTTTTCTGGAGGAGGAGGAGGAGGAGGAGGAGGAGGAGGAGGAGGAGGAGGAGGAGGGGAGGAGAGGAGGAGGAGGAAAAAACTTGACCCCTTCTGCTATACTTTCAATATTTTCTCAATACACTATTCAATACACTATTGAAAGTAAATTGCTGTTTTCTGGAAGAGGAGGAGGAGAAGGAGGAGGAGGAGGAAAAAACTTGGCCCCTTCTGCTACTTTCAATATTTTTCAATACACTATTCAATACACTATTGAAAGTAAATTGCTGTTTTCTGGAAGAGGAGGAGGAGGAGTGGTGGAGGAGGAGGAGGAGGAGGAGGAGGAAAAAACTTGGCCCCTTCTGCTATACTTTCAATATTTTCTCAATACACTATTCAATACACTATTGAAAGTAAATTGCTGTTTTCTGGAAGAGGAGGAGGAGGAGGAGGTGGAGGAGGAGGAGGAGGAGGAAAACTTGACCCCTTCTGCTATACTTTCAATATTTCTCAATACACTATTCAATACACTATGAAAGTAAATTGCTGTTTTCTGGAAGAGGAGGAGGAGAAGGAGGAGGAGGACGAAAAAACTTGGCCCCTTCTGCTACTTTCAATATTTTCTCAATACACTATTCAATACACTATTGAAAGTAAATTGCTGTTTTCTGGAAGAGGAGGAGGAGGAGGAGGAGGAGGAGGAGGGGAGGAGGAAAAAACTTGGCCCCTTCTGCTATACTTTCAATTTTTCTCAATACACTATTCAATACACTATTGAAAGTAAATTGCTGTTTTCTGGAAGAGGAGGAGGAGGAGGAGGAGGAGGTGGAGGAGGAGGAGGAGGAGGAGGAGGAAAAAACTTGGCCCCTTCTGCTATACTTTCAATATTTTCTCAATACACTATTCAATACACTATTGAAAGTAAATTGCTGTTTTCTGGAGAGGAGGAGGAGGTGGAGGAGGAGAGGAGGAGGAGGAGGAGGAGGAAAAACTTGGCCCCTTCTGCTATACTTTCAAATTTTCTCAATACACTATTCAATACACTATTGAAAGTAAATTGCTGTTTTCTTAGGGGGAGGAGGAGGAGGAGGAGGAAAAAACTTGGCCCTTTCTGCTATATTTTCAATATTATTTTTTTTTTTGAACGAAATGAAAATGAATTAATGCAGGCACCTTTTGAAAATCCAGTCTCGGGAACAAATTAAAAAAAAGCAAGTAAAACACATCTCCCAGTAATTTTGGGAATCAGTTGTATATCTGAGCATCAGGAAGTATTCAACGCGACTGTTGAAAGCCCTTTGTGAACTCACTCTTCAGTTCTTATTTAGAAGCTCCCCAATGGACCGTTGCATTCTGCATATTCTTTTTTTTTAGGGGGGGGGGGGGGGGGGAAATATTATCCACCAGGGAGCCCCCACATCAGTGTCACAAAATCTCAAGTCTTCGGTTCGCGTTCAGCTTATGAACTGAAGTCATGCACGGTTTTTTTTTTTAAAGATTGTTTCATTCCCGCAAACCCCTCCCTCCCTCCCCCCAATGTTTGTTGGTTTGTTTCTTTACGCCGATGGCGAATGAAGTCAGCACCGGCAACTGTAAAACACACAAGTTTTGCGCTCCTTGTAGAGCAAACTCAAAAGTCCTCGCAACGCTCCAGCTGCATTCGTAAGACGCCTCTCTTGTGGAGAAGCCATAGCTGTAAGAATTCCTCCGGCATGGCATGGAAGCCGGTATCTGGCAAGATATTGTCGTAGTAATGATGGCTAATGTATCGCCCATGGAGGTCCATTGAAAAAGGCCAGAAACCATAAATCGTCACTTCTTCGCAAAGAGCAAGAGCCGCGCTGACCAAGAAGAGGCCGGTGGAAAGCCGTTTAGCGTGAATCCCTTTGCTTTTCCAAAACTTGCCGATGTCCCGTAGGAAGTTAGGGTTGGCAAAGATCACCTTTTGTTTGGCTCCGACGTCAGTCAGGGTGTAGTACACTCGGAGAGAAAGCTCGGTCCCTGTTTTCATGGTGAAAGCTGGCATGTAGATGTAGCTCTGGTTGTAGACTTTGACTTTGTCCACAAATGTTTTTCGGGACCAAAGAAGATTCTGGAACCTGGGAAAGAAAAGAACAAAAGAGGAGAGGAGAAGAGAAGAGAGAGGAGGGGGAGAAAAGAAAGATGGATGGATGGAAGGAGAGAGGGAGGGAGGAAGAAGGGAAGGGAGGCAGGGAGAGAGGGAGGAGGAGAAAGGAAAGTTGGAAGGAAAGAGGGAGGGAGGGAGGAGAGGAGGAGAAAGGAAAGATGGATGGAAGGAAGGGAGAGAGGGAGAGAAGAAGAAGGTGAGGAGAGGAGGAGAAGGTAAAGTTGGAAGGAAGGAAGGAAGGGAGGGAGGAGAGGAGAGGAGAGGAGAAATAAGTTAGATGGTAAGTTCATGCTTTACCAACTACTCAAAGCATACTATAAAAAGGCCAACAAAATATTGATAAGAGTAACTTGTCAAAGTTAGTGAAGATTTAGGGTCTCGCTGCAACTAGGATCAAAGAAATAAGTTAGTGTTTCCCAACCATGGCCACTTTAAGATGCCTGGGCTCCAAGAATTCTGGGAGTTGAAGTCCACACATCTTACGAGTTGCCACGGTTGATAAACACTGCAATAAGCAAACAGGTTAATGTAAATGAATGCTGGTGCTTAACTCTAGGGTTTCTGAGAGGTTATCATAAGCATTCCATAAAATAGCAACTAACAGGTAGTCCTCGACTTACGACCACAACTGAGCCCCAAATTTCCATTGCTAAGCAAGACAGTTGTTGAGTGAATTTTGTCTCATTTTACGATCTTCCTTGCCACACTTGTTAAGCGAATCTGACTTCTTCCCCCATTAAATACATGCCAGATGCCAAACATCTGAATGTTGAACATATGGCCATGCGGATACTGCAATGGTCATAAGTGTGAAAAATGGTCATCGGTCATGTTTTTCAGTGCTGTTCATTCACTAAATGAATAGTTGTAAGTTGAGGACCACCTGTGCAGAAGTGTGAACAGGTACCAAATACTTATTTCCTAGAAGGCAGATACTTCTTGTAGCTCTCAAGAAGAGTCTTTACCACCTGAGTTTATCACTTTTTCTTTCTTTTCTTTTTTTTTTAAAATTTGATTTATATGCCACTCTTCTCCGGAGACTCAGGGCGGCTTACAATGCGTTAAGCAATAGCCTTCATACTTTTGTATATTTATACAAAGTCAGCTTATTGCCCCCACAAACTGGGTCCTCAATTTACCCACCTTAGAAAGGATGGAAGGCTGAGTCGACCTTGAGCCTGGGGAGAATTGAACTCGCAGTAATTGCAGGCAGCTGGATGTTAAATGCTGCCTTTAGGAGGCATTAGCCTCCCACGCCACTCAGGCTTTTTAACTCTTCTAGGCATTTTTTTTTTCTAGCTGGAACAGCAGGTTGCAAGCATCCCATAATTGTTTAAAGAATGCTGCCCAGAAACATGGGTGAGACTGGCACTGGTTTTTGCAGCATGTTAGCTTCTATTTTTTTGAATTGAATTGAATCAAGCAGGATGGCCTGGCAGCCGCCAAAAATTGTGTTTGCAACTAAATTGGCATTTCTGAGTGGCCACTGATGGCCCCACAGCTCTTAAAGGTTGCACTTAACTTGAAAATAAATCTGAATACAGAAGGAATCCTAAATAAACCTTTTTGCCATCACCGGAAACAATTCAATGTCTATTTTTCTTCTAACTTAAATACGTTCATGTTTTCCTTTGGTTGCCAGATTAATCTGCCTTCCTATTTGTACAAATCTTTGCTGATCTTGCTTTATGCAAACAAGACGAAAAATAAGTTGAAATAAACATTTATTTATCTCTTTAATGGCTGCCTTGGAAAATGAAATGTACTTTAACCTCACTGGGGTGGGGGAGAAGGGCCTCCCACTCTGCAGAGTTTATAGAAATGGAGAAAGTCTTAGTTCTCATGCCTTTTGTAGTTTTTGTTTTTAATCTTTGGTGAGATAGATCTTTAATAAATGGCTTATCACATTTCCCCCCATTCTCCATTCATATAATGTGTCATTGGACAGATGAATTTCAACAGAAGGAGCTAAACTCAAAAGCATAAAGCCACGGGGCTTCCTGAAAAATAGATGCTGCTCGTAATTCAATTCTCTAAAGACAAAATACGATAATAACATTTTCAGTAGGCACTAGTCCCATTTCAGCAAATGGAGCAAAATGCTAACGGCTAATGAGAATTCAAGACTATGAGTCCCAAAATCTAAAATATGATAGCTTAAATTGTTCCATGGATCAGATCCATCCAACATGCCCAACCCTAACATTTTCATTAAGGAATTGCCAAGTAATGTTTCTTCTTTTTCTTCTTATGCCGTATCCGTCATCGGATGTTAGCGATCATGTTGGCGATCCTATTTTTATCAACAGACTCACGAAAAAGTGCTGCTGAGTTTTGTCCAAACCAGTCCCTTAGATTTTGAAGCCATGATGTTCTTCTTCTGCCTGGGCCTCACTCTGGGTGTTGCATCACATGTCCGAAATATTCTAACTTTCACTTTTTAATGGTTTTGATTATTTCCCTTGCCTTTCCCAGGCGGCTTATCACTTCCTCATTTCTGATTTTGTCAACCCAACTTATATGTAACAGTTGCCTGTAAATCCACATTTCAAATGCTTCTAGTTCGGGACTTCTTGTGCATGGTCACTCACGCCCTTGTCACTTCCCGCCTGGACTACTGTAATGCTCTCTACATGGGGTTCCCCTTGAAGAGGAGCCTGGATAGCTCAACAAACTAAAAGCCTGTTATTAACATTCAGCTGTCTGCAATTATTGCAAGTTCGAATCTCCCCAGGCTCAAGGTTGACTCAGCCTTCCATCTTTTCTAAAGTAGGAAAATTCAGGACCCAGTTTGTGGGGGCAATAAGCTGACTTTGTATAAAATATACAAAAGTATGAAGGCTATTGCTTAACGCACTGTAAGCCGCCCTGAGTCTCCGGAGAAGGGTGGCATATAAATCTAATTTTAAAAAAAAAAGAGCACCCGGAGGCTCCAACTGGTCCAGAAAGCGGCCGCGTGGATGATTGTGTGGGCGATGTGGCGCTCCCATGTAACACCTATCCTGCGTGAGCTGCACTGGCTTCCGGTGGTCTTCTGGGTGCGATTCAAGGTGTTGGTTAGCATCTTTAGAGCGCTCCATGGCTTAGGACCTGGATACCTACGAGACCGCCTTCTGCTACCAATAACCTCCCACCGACCAGTACGCTCCCACAGAGAGGGTCTCCTCCGGGTGCCGTTGGTCAGGCAATGTCGACCGGCGACCCCAAGAGGGAAAGCCTTCTCTGTGGGGGCACCTGCCCTCTGGAACGATTTGCCCCCGGAGATTCGGAGAATCCCGGACCTACGCACCTTCCGCCGTGCCCTCAAGACTCTTTTGTTCCAACAAGCCGGGCTGGCCTAATTCTAATTCTTTTTAACTTTTAATCTTTAATTTTTAATTCTTGAGGTTCAAAAATGGGTTTTTAATTAGTTACGGGTCATATTGTTTAATATATATTTTAAATTGTTATTAAATTTTCTATTTGTGTGTTCTTATTCTGGCTGTACACCGCCCTGAGTCCTTCGGGAGAAGGGCGGTATATAAATTCAAATAAATAAATAAATAAATGAATAAATAAATAAATAAATAGTCTCTTCAAGTGTCTTTCTGTTAGAGACCAACTCTCTACTCTGTAGAACAGGATAGAAAAGATGTAACATCTGACAAGCCTAGTTTTCAATGTTGTGACTGCAATGTTGTGACTTTCATTTTGAAGTAACGTTTACTGTATCCAAATAAATCATACTACAAGTGATCCTTCACTTATATCCATTCATTTAGCAACTGTTTGAAGTTGTAAGAGCACTCAATCAGGTGACTAACAAACCGGTCCTTGGGACTTAAAATTGTTGCAGTATCCCCACAGTCACGTGATCAAAATTCAGGGACTTGGTAAGTAGCATAGATTTACAGGGTGGATTTAAATTTAAATCACTAGTAAGAAAACTTGGTTTAAATCAACTCAATTTAAATCATAATTTTTAAAGAGCAACTTGTCATCTGTATCCCGTAGTGACTCCCTGACAATCCCAATATTGCAGAATATACAGCCTTATGCTACATCACTAAGCTCCATTTCATGGTGAATAAACTAAATTATTATCTTAATATATCTTAAATAGTATCTTAAACAAAAAACTATCGTTAGATAGATTTTACTCCAAAAGCATTTTATTAAAATAAATTTAATAAAAATAAAAAAAAAACCTGATTTAAATTAAGAAAAACCTGATTTAAATTAAGAAAAACCTGATTTAAATTAAAAAAAAATCTGATTTAATTTTTTTAAAAAAAAAATCATTGATTTTTATCCACCCTGTATATTTATGATTGTTGCAGCATCCCGGAGTTATGTGATTTGCCATTTGTGACCTTCCCAGCCTGCTTCCGACAAGCAAAGTCAATGGGGGAAATCAGGTTTGCTTAAGGACCATGTGATTCATTTAACAAGTGCAGTGATTCACATAACAACCGTGGCAAAAAAAAGTTTGTCAAATCGTGTGTGACTCACAGGTCCATCGCTTAGCGATGGAAATTGTGATCCCAATTGGGGTCGTAAATCGAGGACTACCTGTGTAGCTTAGACACAGCCAGCGCATCCAAGGTGCCAAAAATCCAAATAACCCCCCCCCCAAAAAAGTCCAACTTTTTGCTGGACATAGATAGAATAGAATAACAGAGTTGGAAGGGGTCTTGTAGGTCATCTAATCCAACCCCCTGCCCAAGCAGGAGACCCTACACCAGTGATGGCTAACCTGTTTGCCGTCATGTGCCAAAAGTGGGAGGAGCGCGGGAGGGTCGCACGTGCCCACACCTATAATTCAATGCGCCCTGCACCCCTCATGCGTCCATGACCCCTGCACTCCCCCCACTTTTGGCACGTGATGGCACGGTAGGTTCGGTGGGCCCGTTTTTCGCCCTCCCCAGGCTCCAGAGGCTTTCTTGGAGCCTGGGGAGGGCGAAAACGGCGTTCCCCACTCCCCCTGGAGGC